GCAAAACAATAAATATAAAGGGAGGAATATTTTTATTAGTTAATTTTTGGCAGCCGACAGAAAAGGAATATGCACAGAAGGGGATATTGTTACTAAATGGCTTATGCAGCCGGCCGTAAAGGGTTAAGCTTATGGTAGGAGATCTCGACGAAGTTTAATTAGTAGAATTCTTCTTGAGATCGCCTACCATAAGCTTAAGATGGAAAAAAACACTAAAAGACAAATGTATCCAGAAAGTCATGCGTTTCGTCTGAAATCATAAATCCAAGAAATAACACATCAAACGTACTTGTATGTAGTAGTAAATGTCTTTCTCTGATTAAAAATTATGTTTAAATCTGTACGTCTGAGTAGCTCTATACTGTATCTTGTTTTGAAAAAGAAATTTTTTCATTAATTTAACATATTTAAATGATAAAACACATGTTCATAGATCTTACTGGTTTGAACTCTGTAGCATTAGTTTAGGCGTATTCACATATTTTAGAAATACTTATTTTTGCTGAAATGCGAATAAATTATACTGTCGTTAAATAAAAGCAAATGTCATGCAAATTATTTTAGAATTTTGTTTTGTTCTATAAAGACATAATGCAAAAAATATTTATCCATTTGCAATCAATGAGTGACTACTATAGAACATTAAATCGCTACGTGTGCTTAAATTTTGATATGAAATAATTATATGCATATAGATAATCATCTGTTTTTCTCTTTTTTTTCTTCTCGTGAGCATAATTCCAGATAAACCTTGCTGTCATTAGGATTTATGTGTACATTGGCATTATGAACGTAAACTGCCTGTTTTTCTTTTTTTGTGCGTGATAAAAGGTAAGATGAAGTGAAAAAAAGAAAAAGGAAAAATGATTGATACAAAGGTTGGTAATCCGTACAACTAAAAAAAAATGGTATTTTTTTCTCCACGTGCAACTGGAAGGTCATCATTCAGTTACAGTTTTTTGCAGAGGTAGAGAATATTTATCTTTCCGCCAGATGGTTTCCTTTAACACATAACATCTATTATATTTGTGTATGACATTACTAATTAATTAAAGGTAGCTGAGTTTTGATCAAAAAAAATTCAGTAGAAACGTTTCAATCCACATTTCTCTTTCTAATAGAATTTATATGAGTAGGAGAATGAAATTCTAATAGGAAAAGATTTTCATTATATTAAGCTGAATTATTTTAATATAACTTGTTAACATACACATTTATCTTTCATAAATATCTAGAGGAAACTTAAAGTCAAAGATGAGTCATCCAACATTACCCCATCTACCGACGCATTCATCAATCGAATCAAATAATGAAGCTATCACATTAATTTGGTTAGATAAACAACTTGATGATCCAAATAATATTGAAGATGTTCTTCATACAAAGAGATTGTTAAAAGAAATAAATGATTCTGTACTATTTTATATCGATCCTAAACAATGTGTAGATTATATAAAACGTGCAGACAAAGAAAAAATATTTTTAATTATTTCTGGTTCACTAGCAACAGATTTTATCGCTGATATTTGTCACGTAAATCAAATTGATTCGATATTTATCTTTTGTACCAGACGTGAAAAATATGAATATTTAATTGAGAGATACGAACAAGTTGTCGACGTTTTTACATATCAAGATGAACTTACCCAAAGTGTACAACAAAATGTCGATTTAGTTAAGAAACAATCATCACGTTTCGGTATATTCGATGAAAAACAATGTTCAACAAAATATTTAAAACGTGAATCAGCTACATTTCTATGGTCTCAATTGTTACCTGCTGTACTAAAAAAAGTGGCACAATATGGTAGTCAATCGAATATAAACGAAATAGTTGCTTATTGTAATGCTCATTATCGTGGCCATTCTGTTGAACTACTTAATATCCAAGAATTCAAATTAAAATATGTGAGTATTTCTCTGTATGAAATTAAAATGTTTTTCATTGATTATTGTATTTTACTTAGAAACCTGAAGAAGCGATATTATGGTATGCAAAACAAACATTCATTTACAATATGGTTAATAAAGCATTACGAACGGAAGATGTTGAAACTTTGGGCATATTTCATCATTATATTACTAATCTATGTGCAAATTTAGCACATGAACATAAAGAATTACAAATTACATCCAAAAAAAATTCAAAAATGTTGATAATTAAACTTTATCGTGGTTTTAAAATGACTACAGATGAAATACATAAAGTTAGAGAGAATATTGGTGGATTGATTTCAATGAATGGCTTTTTTTCTACTAGTCGACGAGAGGATATAGCAATAAAATTTGCTACTAAACCAACGGCAAAACGAAAAAATATTCAAAATGTTTTATTAGAAATTGAAGGTGATATTGGATTAGATACAATTGTTTTTGGTGATACTGTAAAATGGAGTGAATTTCCAGAGGAACAAGAAGTTATATTCGATTTGGGTACAGTATTTCGAATAGTTCATGTTGAACACGATGGTCAGAAGAAGATGTGGACAATACAGTTGGCGGGTATAAGTGACTCAAGAAAAACTGTAGATGAGTATATTGATCGTGTACGAAAAGAAATGGAAGAGACAAGTTTAACATTATTGTTTAGTCGTTTAATTTGTGATATTGGCGAATACAATAAATCAGAAATGTTTTTAAAACGAATGTTAGCCTTGTTACCTGAAAATCATGCGGATATTCCACATATCTATTTGTCTATTGGACGTGCAAACTATTTTAAAGGTGAATTAGAAGAAGCACTTAACAATTATAACCTAGCAAACACAATAATACGAACACGTTCAAAAACTGATACACATTCCGATATTGCTCGGGTACTACATCATATTGGAAATATTTATCTTGAATATAAACAATACGACATGGCAATTGATAATTATACTCAAGCATTAATAATGAAACAAAAAACATTGTAAGTAGAATATATGGTGGTGAAAATAATTAATCATTTTAATAGATTCTTTTCTAGATCAAAAGATCATCCATCAATAGCTAATACGTTAGATGCTTTAGGAGTGGTTCACAAAGAAAATGATGATTATCAGAATGCTTTAATCTATTTTAATGATGCTCTCGCAATGAAGCAACGAACATTATCAAAAGATCATCCATCGATTGCTGATACATTAAATAATATTGGATCTATCTATGAACAACTCGAGCAATATGACAAAGCACTCGAATATCACCAAAAATCATTAAAAATAAAACAGACAGCATTATCGAATAATCATCCGTCGATTGTAATAAATCTAAATGCCGTGGGAAATATCTATGTTATTAAGCGTGAATATCAACAGGCTATTGAGTGTTATTTATTGGCACTAAGGATTGAATTAAGAAATTTGCCACCAAACCATTTGGATATAGCGTCAGCGTACGATAATTTGAGTATGACCTATTATGAACAAGGTAATTATAAGAAGGCACTTGAATCAGCACATCTTAAATTAGAAATTCAAAAGAAACATTTTCCAGACACGCATGAATCAATACAAGAGACCAAACAGTTTATTGATACATTAGAAAATGCTTTACGGAACGAAGAATGAATTTCTCACTTGTTTTTTCTACTATTTGTATAGCTGTTTTGTTTATTCCTTGCTACAAGATCTAAAATATGTGACAAATTCTCTCACACTATATATGATAGTGTCATCTATGCAAGTGATGGTGTATAAACGTATGCATGTGGTACACTGACAGATCAGTCTCTGACATTTAAGCCTTGACAAATGACCCTTCCGGTATATGAGCTCTTGACATTTGAGCCTCTCAACACGTAACCCTTCGAGAGCCTCCCACAAGTCAGGTTAGCTCACAAAGGTGAGTCTTACTCAAAGATGAAGTTAGACATTACTTCTACTATTCTTTTATAACTTCAAGAAAAATTATCCATGATTTGGCAAAAATTATAAAGAAAAGTAGTAAATTTCAATTTACACTAATGCAGTTTATTTTATTTAATAATCTGTTTCAAAACCAACTAGAATATTTCATAATTTTGATTCTATAGGACTAATCAAAACTTTGATCTGAACTGACAGTGCCCAGGACGTCGAAAACGGTGTAATCAATTGCCAATAAAATGCCGTTTAATACGCTATTAATAAGCATTTAAATGGAATTTTTATGACATTGGACCCAGTTTTTAGGTTGTTTTTTGCCATTATAACTGGGAACGTTTAAATGTATTTATTTCGCATTTTTTTAAATGTCAAAAAACGGTCAAATAACAGGCATTTAACTGATGCCAGTAACCCCTATTGACCACATTTTTTTGCCATTTAAATATCAGTTTTCAGACCGTTAAAAAATGTGAAAAAAATATCTTCTAAAACCTGAGGTACTATCACCGGCACCGATCCAAGAACCACAGACTACTTTTTCGAGGCAAGTTTCTACAACTCGTATAATTGAAGAGAAAACCTTTAAATTGTCATATATTATATAAATTAAGAGTCATTTATACTAGTCATGACGGTAGAATAAAACAATGACTGACTTGGTGACCATCAAATGGCTGTTAAATGCCAATTTATGATCATTTTTTTGCCATTTTGAAATGGAGAAAAAACTGCCTCAAAACGGACATGTAACAAGCACATTTATTTGGTATTAGTTAACGCAGTCTGATAAACAGACGAAAATGCCGTTTAATGGTGTCCGTAAAATGCCATTTTTTCGGACATTGACTATAATATGGCATTATTTTCACCGTTATTTCAAAGTAAAAAAAATCATTATAATGGCTGTTAAATGCCAGTTTTCTTTCCATTTTTACACAATTAACAGGCCATTTTTTGGCATACAGTTAACAGGCTGTTAATGGACAATTAAATGACAGTTTTCGTCGACCTGGGTACGGACTAGCTGAATTAATAAGTGAATTGAATTAATAATAATTTATTTAAATCATAAATAAAATGTTGTTTTTCCATTAAACGATTGGGGTATGTGACAAACTAAACGCAAGCGTCCCTCAGACGTAATATGTCAGGGAAAATGATTGAAAAATACGTGAATGTGAATAGAATTAGTGCAGATGCGTAGTAGTGAATTTAATAGATACAGATGCACTTTTATGCAAAAAAATACTATTTTATATTCCTGGTTGTATCAAATGTTTTTACTAAAGAATCTGATAACAAATGTTGAAATCGATCTTTTTAAAAGAAAGATTTTACAGTCAGCAATGGACGACGTGAACTCGTTGCTCACATAATTCATGATAATAATCAAGGTCATTATCCTCGACATCCTTAATTATGAGTTCAATCAAGTGCAGTAATGCAATTTAAAAATATTTTAATAAAATAATGATTAAATTGCTTTTTATTCGTAAATTTTTATAAAAATAGTCAGACGTTTCAATTTATTAGTTAAATTTTCTTCAGTGGCAATAAAGATATGTTATAAGAAAACATAAAATTCAAACAAAAAACTTGTATAT